GCTCCTGAAAAGCTTTGGGTTAAAAAAGGGCAGAATTTGGGGGAACTTTCAAAATTTTCTACTGGAAAATCTCCGAGAGATGAGGAAAAGTGAAAAATTATGAATTATAATCGGTTTTGTATAAAAAAATCATCCATGAAGAATACTAAACTAAAATTCAAAGTCGGGTATATAGTGAAAATTACGAAAAATGATATTCCATTCTCAAAAGGATACAAGTCACAGTTTACCGGGCAAATATTTGAAAAATCATCAAAATCAACAAAGAAACCGGCAACATATATCATCAAAGATCTCAAAAAAGAAGAAATTCTCAGCCAATTTTATGAAAACCAACTGAGGAAAAGTTCAGATTAAAGGAAAATCATTTTTTAAAATACATTTCTATCGATCAGTAGTCATGGAATCTTATACTTTTGAGCTATTTTCTAAAGCTTCTCTTACTTTTTATCCGAATAATAGTCTTAGTTCTTTTACTAATTTTCTACCGGAACAAACACATCTTAAAGGAGAACGAGAGGTTGCAGTTTCAAAAATATCGTACCCTTAAATGTACCAAAATGTTACTGAAGGAAAGTTTACATTCATATATGGGAGAGAAAGTCCTGAGCAAAAAAAAGAGAGGTTGAACCGATGCAAATTGAAAATGGATCGTTTTCAAGTTTTGTTGACAAAGTTGAAGACTTGAATGACAAAGTTCGAAAAAGTATAGGTGCACAAAAACAAGAAAATAACGGAATTCTTGTATCAGTAGATAAAATTACACAAAAAACGCCATTCATTCACCTGAGGATCAAAGAGTGTTTATCACTCCAAATGCTGATTTAAAGCATGTTTTTGGTTGTGATTTAGAGCAGAATCAGTCAGGGGTTATTATGACTCGAAAAAGACTATATTATCCTCCGCGTTCTTACGATATTATAAGATTAGATTCCCTGATGATATATATTGATTTTATATAAGGTGATACAAAAACTGCTCTGCTTCATTGTATTCCTTTCATTTCCAAAGTAAAAAAAATGAAGTCACGATATTTACAGATAGTACATGAATTATCAATCCTTTATGAATCTAAAAAAACTCGACAAGCGAAAACTTTTACTTTTGCGTCCATAGGAATTACACGAGTTGCTCTCTTGTTCTGCAAGACTTCGGTTAATCATTTTTGATTTATACTTCATACGAAATGGTAGCTCAAAATTCAGCTATTTTTTATTATTTTTTGTGGACATGAAAGTCAGCGTGAAGAGGTGTTTTCCACATTCTTTCAAAAACAGTCGATTTCCATTTTTAACGGCTTTAAATTTAATGGTTAGTTAATGGTTTTTGAAAAAACTTTTTTTCCATTTTTTCATCTGAAAACTATTGTTGCCTCAAATGCTCTCAAATTTATAAGTTTAATTAAGCTGCAGTACTTTTATGAAGTATTGGTGAATGAAATAATTTCGTTTTTTGATTATTTTTAAAATAAGTTGAATGAATAATGCCTATGAGTTATTTGAATTCTTTTAACTAAATATATCCTTTTTTTACAGTGATTTTAAATGCAACCCTGGGCTTAAATAGTTTTTTTACATAAATCAAGGTCAAAAAGCTGTTACCCATCCGAGGAAGTACAGTCCAAACATTCAGGGAGGTTTGCTTATCTTTAATATTAGCAGTCATATTTAAGTAAATTTTTAAAAAATGGTGTTGTGTGAATAATAATTGGAAACACACATTGAAAAAAATTCCGGGTTTTTGCTTAAAATGGTAAAATTATACATAATTAAAAACAGTAAAGTTATACACACTAACTTTCATAAAAACATAAGAATAATGGAAAGTTTGCACGCTATAGCAAAATCTCGCAAGATTCATCTAAATAGTCTTATCTTTACAAAATTACTTAAACGTTTTCCTGCGTTTTTTGAAACCTATTCTATTTGGTTTCAAACTTTACATGGAAAATTATGCTTTTATCAGTTTAAAATGAGTTTTGAAAGTCTAAAGGAAATCTCAAACCATTTGAAAAAAAAATTCGAAGCTTTCATTTTCAAGGATGCTATAAATTTTGCTGTGAGTTATCATTTTAATGAAAAAGCTTGACAATAGTGACGCGCATTGAAGTTCCATGAATAAAAATTTACCATAATTGAGTTTCTTGTCTGTGTCCACAAATTAAAAATGGATTATAATATTACTAAGTTTCGAGGCAACGAAATCTTTTTTTTATCCATTATAATCCACTTTTTTTCACTTTTGTGGACACTGACAATGAAACTAAATTATAATCGATTTTACCACTTTACTGAGGTGCGAATTTCAGCGCACATAAAGTCTTTTCTACCTTTTAAACTAAAGTCTGTTACGTTAGTTACTTATTGTTCAGTTTGATTTTTTTTCTGCCTAACTTTGATATCTTGTTTCCTTTTTATGTTACTCAAAAATTGAAATTTTTTCCCATCAACAATTTGGGGGAGGGGGGGGGGGGGTAAAGTTGGAGGTGGACTAATATGCCCTTCCATTACCCCTAGGGTTTGCCCATATACAACAAACCCCCCCCCCCCCACCCAACGTAACATTTGGTTCACAGTTTGGGAGTGGGGTTTTCAGGTGAGGGAGGGGGTGGGTTCAGGTAGGCGGTGGGTTCTGTGCGGGGGGGGGGGGTTGTTCAGGTGGGGGGTTTATGTGGGGGCTTCAGGGGGGTTCAGTGGGTGGGAGGTTTCAGTGGGTGGGGGGAGGGGAGCAAAAGGACAAACGTTAAATTGAAGGGGAGCAAAGGGCAAACGTTAGGGGGATTGAATGGGATCAAAGGGGCGAACATTAGGGGGAGAGCTTAAGGGAACCTTTTTGCAATTTGAGTTTAGGTTTAGAAATGGATTAGACCGTACACTCGCTTTGCAAAGTTTCCGCATAACTCACTTGATAGATGCAGAAGTTTTTGCAAAATTTTGCACAACGCGCGAAACAAAAATAAAGTGGAAAAAAGTCCATTTTATTGTGATTTCCTACTTATTATAAAGTCCATTATAATGGATTCCAAATGAATTATAATTGCCTTTTTTTGGCGAGAAAAATTGATTTAAATCCATTTTTAATCTAATTTTATTGCTGAACGTAACATGGGAATCGATTATATTTGTAACATTTTAGACCACGAAAATCCTTTATAATCGATTTGTTTTCACTTTTTTCAAATGCGGGGAGAGTCATTGGACAATATTCTAAAATAATTTGATGAAAACCTACTAAACAACGCAAACCTTTTTAACTATCCCCTCCCCCTATGGTACTTGGTGACAAATTGCCTTCTCGTACCGAGAAATTTCTTTATTTCTGACCTGGAATACTTTATACCTATCTAATTTTCTGGTCAGAAATTCTGTGTGAAATGTCTAAATAAAGCATGGATTTTCAAAAAAATTCTTTGTTTCTCATCATACTTCTGATCAGAAATTAGTTAAATCTAGGCTATGCTAAATCGAAGCATGTTTATCTCATTGCGTTTGAGCAGTGAACTTATTTCGGGTTATTCCTTTTCCAGAAAATGTTTATTTCTTAACTAATAAAGAAACACTTCATTTCTGCGCAGACAATACAAAACATTTGGCTATGTAATCTATACAACCTTTCTATCTAGAAAAACAGCCTTCGCTGGGTACGGATTCCCTAAAAAATTAAATCAGAGAATCAGCAAGCGTTACTTTTTCCCCCAGTTTACGAATCAAGGCGTTATCGTTAAGATTAATCCTCAAACTAAATCTACACTTGTTTTCTTTCTTAAACTTTCTTTTCTGAGACAAAATTTTACGTCTCGAAGTTAAACGTCGCATAAGAAAAAAACTAATTGCCTTAAAAATCATTGCAAGAAAAAATTGACTTGGTCGAAGTTGACTTGCAGTAAACATGTTTTTTCCTGTTGCTGATTTGATCAAAACTGATTGCCTACTTTTTTCCTACCGGCGCCAGGTTTTCATCATAAAGCAAACATTTAATGATCATTTTTTAGTGCCAAACACAATAAAATAGCAGCCAAAATAATCATTTTTTTGGCAATTATGATACGCGAAGCTACGAAATTGAAAAACAATGTTTTGGTCTCAAGACAACTGTGATTCAATTCACTGAGGAATTTCAAAGCAAAATCAGTCAAGTGAAATTTTTTCAGTGTGTTTGCGTCATAATTCTGTTTTTCATTGTTATGGTTTAGACTTGTTCCTCAGAAAAAAATGCATGGATAATATCATCGCATTGATTTTCCATTTAGCTTATAAATTTCCAGTTTTTTGATCGACAATTTTCATTTTCTATCTGAAATAAATGTTTCTTAGTTTAATTACTTTTGTTAATCAGAGACTTTCACATTCATTTTTCTTACCAAAATTAATATCATTTTAAGCTTTTAACTTCATGACTCTAAGAAGTGAGATGTTGTTCGTGTCTGTGTTTAATAAGACTTGATGATGTTTTTTTTTTCATTCTGATCAAATTTTTTGGTTGCTAACCTTGTTTACCACGAATCGGTCCAATCAGTTTTTAATCTTCACTTCTGATGGAAAGATCCAGACTTCAGCGGTCCAACACAGTCTTCCCGCCCCTAAATGTCACCAGACAAACTGCCTTCCATCCGGATCCTTCGCATGACGTCATCTACCGGAAACGCGTTGCTTTACCAGGAAAAAATTTTTGACACTGTTGTTGTTTCAATTTTGGATTCTACGTTTCAATTTTTCTTACCCAATTGCAAAAATTGTTGTTTATTCTGTTTTTTTTTGTTCTGACTTTCGAAGAAAGTGAAGAAAATAACTGAGAAGGGTATTTTTTAATCAGATCATTTTCACTAGGAATAATTTGACAGCAAGGTTTTCGATCCTAAACTCTTTGGAACTTCAAGCAAGAAATTTTAGTATTTTTTAGACAAGTTGATTGTAAATTCTACTTTTTGATGAATTCTAGAAAACATTTGAGGTTTTGACTAAACTTCAGCCTTGACTTTTGTTCATGAAAACTCAGACAGTGCCAAAAAATGCTCATGCTCGTTGCCAGTTGCTACAATTTCAACCAACCAGAGCTCAGAACAAGGATTCGGAATCCAGCGATGTGTGATTCAGCCAATCAGAAGCGGCCTCTTAAGATCTTCAAGTCAAAACCAAAAATCAATTCCACTAAAACCCGGAACCCAATTGTATGCCATTCCCAATGGGTCCTTCAGGGTGCCAGGTAATCAGAAGTTTGGTACCGGTGACCAGACGACCTCGCGGAACCACGCGGCGACACTCCATCAGAAGACAGCATTAAGTGAGATGTACAGAGTGTCTCTGATTTTGATCCAGAAAGAAATAATGCAGACCAGAGTTTTGTCGCCAGTGGGAAAACATAAATCTAGTTAGTCATTTAATTATTCTAACAAAAATAAACACGGTTTTTTAGAAAATAGCCAAACTGCTGATATGATTTTGATAGTTTTTGCTAAGGAAGCTTTTTTTTCTGTACATTAGAGAACAACGAAGACACAGGAATCAGGAAACTGGTCGATAATTTAACATGCTGAAAAAAAGAAAATCTATGATTTTACATGCTTATTTATTCCAACCCAAATTTCTGTTTTCGAAACCAATTTTCTCTGCCTGCTTAGCTCTCGAGTCTTACTTTCACTTAACTCGGTGGTTTTTTGTCTGCTTTGTTTTTGGGTTGAAAAGGTAATAGATCCAAAAAAAACTTTGATTTGCGTTAAAAGACAATTTACAAAAGTTAAGGAAAATGACAACTCGCAAGGTTTGAAATTGATTATCCCTAATTGGCCTGCTCGCAACACGTTGGCGCGACTGCCGCGGTGAGTATATTGCTAGTTGTCTTTTAATGCGAGTTGTCGTATTACGTTTTTTTGATATCTTCAATTTTCCGCTGATTTTCATTTAAAATTTCTGTTATTGGGATAGCATGCAATAGGGTTTCATTTTTCGTCTTTCGATCCGTTCAATTGGTGCCATCAATTTTTAGCAGACATGCTGAAAACATACTTGCCAGAGATCAGCGACTTGGCCGCAGACACCGCTACCATACCCTCAAATAACGTGAACAACCTGAACATCACAGTTCCTTTTAACGAGTTCAACCAGCGCTTCAGACACGGACGCTATTCGTACTCCAAGTTCTTAGAAGCGGTCGGAGCTTTCAGAAACATGTACAGTGACATGAGACCTAGACTGAACTTAAACGATGCACCCATGTTTGATAGCAGTGCGAACAGCTCTTTTGAAAGCACTTCTGGAAGTGCAATGATTCGCACGAAACCGCACGCTATTTTCTGCTCCGCGCACTGTGAAGTTTCGGGTGCATTGTCGTGCAATAAATGCATCGTGAAATTGCACCAGTTTATGAGCGAGAGAAATATAGATCATCTGTTTGCCAATCCGAGATTCAAGTTCAACTCAGTGGCTGTTAATAAAGAGAAGGAAGTCAGAAACGCGACAGAGAACAGCGACGACACTCGCAAACAGCGGCTGAACATCAGCATTCCGTCGGCATCCAATGCTACCGATTCAGACAACGAAGCGGAGGACTAATGAAACTTATAAATGAATTTGATTAAGCTAACAAATTGTCAAGTTTTATCTCTTGCATTTTCATTAACTTATAAGGTGGATACTTTGAATTGACTAAAGTCGAGCTATCAATCATGGACAAGTTTTACTTGCAACCAGGAGCATGTTACTTTAAAGGAGAGCGCCAAAAAAAGTTCTGATAAAAATCTTAGAAAACCCATGAACGCATCTTTGGTTGGTTTTTTTTTTTCAAAATTCACTGGTTTTTATAGTGTTTTGAGAGAGCAGGAAAAATTAGTCGATCTTTGAAAAATGCTTTGCGCTTCTTTGCAAACCGAGCTTGGCGCGGTAATGTTCAGTTTCAATTTTTATGATCAGATCCAAACGTGGTTTGAGCTCTGCAAAACAAACTAACGTTGAAGTGATGTTTTTGGAATCTATTTCAACTATTTTATCTGTTTGTTTCGATAACTTAGAAAACGATTTAAAAGAAGTCAGTTATCAGTTCGTTCACAACAATTAGAAAAATTTTGAACAATTTCCCCAGCTTTTATAAAATTAATGAACAAGATAACAATCTAGATGGTACGGATTTTTGAATTGTGGTTGTTCAATTATCAAATTAAATTTCAAAAATTTTGCCAATTTTTGAAAAGGCGATCCAGGAGAATTACCTGTAAGATTGAGAACTTTCTAAAACAACAAAACTTATACGTTGTGGCATCAATGTAAGCGCAAAGTTTACTTGCAATCAAAAGGATGTTGGTTCAAAATTCAAACATGTGCTGAAAAAATTTGCCAGAAAACTTCTTCCGGTTGAGTTACGTCATAGGAAAAATTTGATTGAATAGACTTCTGGACTTCGAATTAGGACTCTTAATGTTTAACTTAGAAAGAAGATTTGTGTTTTCTTAGATAAGCTCTCGGGGTGTCATGAGGTGACCTTCGGTACACCGCTTACTCATTGCCTTTTTGCAGCTTTGCTGCTGATTTCACTACCAGTTGTGTTCAAGGCCACTGGCTCGGCCTATATTGAGTTTCACGCTGTGCGTGGTCACTCCGCTGTTTTGATACATCGTTTTCTAGATTTATATTTATTCCGAATCTTATTCTATGTTTCCTCTTATTCAGAGCTTGGCTAATAAATATTAAATTGGAACCAAGAATCTAAACATCTAATTTATCAATTCACTATTACAAACAGCGAAGTTTTGTCCTTTAAATCTCGGCAAATGTCATGGCGCAGCCAGCAGTTCCAATGAATGAAGACAGGACTGACCTGTTAGGTATTCCTCCTTTTTGGGCGAACCCTTCGATCAACCCACTGTTCCTTTGGGAATCCTGAATTGGGCAATTCTTCCTGGCAGTGGGGCTGAAGGATAATATAAATCCTCAGGATCTTTTAGTGGAACATGCGGAGGCCATCGACGAACCCCCTGCGAGAGCAGAGGCCGTAGGTGCCACGGAGGACGCTGGGGAGACGAATGCTCGAACTCTTCGAGATCAAGCGGCGGTTCGTAGAATCAATGAACTGAATATCTAGCGCAGAAGAAAAGGCCCTCGAATTGGTCAGAACTGGTTTTATCACGAAGCTGAAGCCCGTTTGAAATCACGATTATTTTCCGCTTTGGAAATGAAGGAAAGCGACGTTTCGCAGATTCTTACCCGCACACGGACATTAGCATTACTCCTTTTCTTGAAATTCACAATGCTTGTGAGACACTGTTCAAGACAGAACGCGATTATACTGTTGAACGTATCAAACTGTATAACACTATATTCATGTTGGAAAACGATACCTTCTGTTCATTTTACGCTCGTCTCAGTGCTCAGATTGCTTTGTGTAATTGGCCCAATGCTCAACAGAGGGATACTTTGAAAGATCTCTTCATCGGACGAATCCGTGATGTGGATGTTCAAAAACATCTAATTAGGGCAAAAGTAGACTTGGATGAAACTTTTAAATTTGCTCTGGAGTGTGAAAAATGTGCCGGTACGTCGGCTCACTTCCAAAAACTACTCCCGCACAATCAGTTCTCCAGCACTACAAAGGTTAAACAACAGCCTACTTTCTCAACCCAGTCGTCTCGAGGAAAACGTAATTCTCCTCAGACCTAATTCAATCGACAAAAAGCGCAAAGTAACAAAGGCAACAAAGCATGCTATTTCTGTGGCAATCCTTTTAGCCCGGAACATAGAAGGTCGTGTCCATTTCGAGAGGTTACATGTAACCGTTGTAAGAAACGAGGTCACTTTGCCAAATGTTGTAACTCATCAAAACAACGTGTAAATTTGGTTGACGATAATGAGGAGATGCCAGACCCCCTCATCGATTGTAATTTTATAGACGCTGATCACGATAGTGAACCGGAGTTCGGAGTTTTACAATTAGAAAGTGCCATCAGGATTGACAGTATCGAGCTCCTAAAGCCAAACAAAGGGAAACCAAGAAACCTCAGTATCCAATTGCGTACTGGGCAGAGTTTCTTTAACTCAAATGTGGACACCGGAAGTCCGGTTTCGTTCCTCAACAATCGAATTTGCGATTTAATACTTCAGCGTAATCCGTCCATCCAATTCCGAGATATCACACGATAACCTATAGATACTCAATATGTTGATTATAATAAGAAACCGATTCGCCTTCTTTGCTCAGTTTGTCTTCCGATCTCTTCTAGTAGTTCTAGGAGGCTTGTTTCCTTGTCTCCGAGAATAGAACCCGAAATCTGTTGGGCTTAGGTTTGCAAGATCAATTAGGTGTGGTGACTATTCAACTGAGGGCAGAGCCCGTACAGCAGCTGGAAGTTAAGGATCAAGACCCGATTTCCGACTATTGGAGTTCTTTCTTTGCCACGAAATATGCTCATGTGTTTTTCGATTAGGAAGATCCAAGAGCCACAAAGTATTCACAAATTTTAGGTAACCTCTGGTGCCCCGTTAAGTTAAAGGACGTAAAGTCCCGATTCATATCCAGGACAGAGTTGCTAATGAGATCAGACAGTTGGTGAAGCAGGGTCGCATTGAGAAACTGGATAAATGTACGATTGATTATTTCATAGCGCCCATTGTATTGACAGCCAAGAAGGATGGCTCAATCAAACTTGCCTTAAATGCTAAGCCAATGAAAGCGCAGATCTGGAAGAACAAATACCAGATGCCGAACATTCATGAGCTTATTGATTCGGCGGCTCAGATAATTACCAAGGATGTACCTGGAAAGGTTTGGTTTACCTCATTAGATTTGAAGTACGCTTTCAGTCAACTGCCCTTATCGTCAGTTACCAGTAGTCACAGTAATTTCAATATCTTGTATGGGGATGCTACGGGGACGTATCGGTTCAAGGCTGGGTTCTATGGTTTAACAGATATGCCAACCGAGTTCCAGAAGGCGATGGATTGTACCTTACAAGGATTCCAGGGTGTAATTTGTTACTTGGACGATATCTTACTAGTCACGAAGGGAGACATTCAAGAACATAACAACTTGATCGAGAAAGTGATGCAGAGGCTCGATGCAGAAGGCTGGGCACTGAAGCTTAGTAAGTGTGAATTTTCGGTAAACCAGTTAACTTGGTTAGGTTATGTCATAAATGAGGACGGTTATTCTCCCAAATTTTCAAAGATTGACGCAATTCAATCACTTAAACCCCCAAGAACTTTGAAACAGCTTCGTTCATTTATGGGAACGCTAAATCATCTACATTGGTTTATACCTGACTTACATACTTATACAGTTCACTTTCGGCAATCCTTAAAGGTATGTAACAAACAGTTTTTTCGGTGGGGCGAGGAGCAAGATAATGCCTCCAAAAGTATAATCAATCTGGTGGCTAAAATCCCCAGTTTGTTCCATTATGATTCTTCGAAAACGCTTCGAGTAAAATGTGACGCTAGTCATAACGGACTAGGAGCATGTCTTGAGCAGGAGATTGAACCGCGAGTTTGGGCTCCAACTGCGTTTGCCTCGCGTTTTCGCAATAATGCAGAAACGAAGTATAGTACAAATGAATTAGAGTTAATGGAAATCGTTTGGGCGTGTGAAAACTTTCGTACGTCTTTGTTGGGTTATCGTTTTCAAGTGTTGACGGACCATAAATCCATTATTTTGATATTGAGTGAAAATTATAATATCAAGTCTTATCAGTCGCGCCTTTCCCGTTGTGCGGATCGTTTGTTACCCTTTGATTTTGAAGTTATTCATGTCCCTGGGGTTACTTTGCGCATTGTTGAATATTTAACCCCCTATGCAAATTTTTCCGCTCCAGTAGCTTCGATTTATGATGAACTTTTTGTTGTTAAGTCCATTTAGGCTTTTACTTCGGCCTTGACATTTATAAGTTCATTTAACGCGATTAATTCAGGAGACGGTATATGTTCTTCCTCGCAAGAGGGCGTTTATCCTCACACTCTGAAATTTTCCTTGTCATCGTCAAAATTTTCTCCGGTAGGGGGTGTCTTGAAACCAACTCGTGCTGTCAACCAATCAGATCACGTTATGCAAATACGCGCTTCAAGTATCTCACCGAGAGAGGGCGTTGCGTTAAGCTCTTCAAGTGTCGACCAATCAGAAACGGGTATGCAAATTAAAAATCGTAGACCGGTTTCGCTGGCTCTAAATCATTGTCTCCGACCTGAATTGCTAAAAAACAGTCATAACTCTCTCTTCTTATCTTTTTTTATATAACAACTCATAGTCACATCATGAACTCCTCGAATCCTATTCTAGCACCAGATACTTTTCCCCAACCTACTGCCGACGACTTACATTCTACACTTGTTCAACCCCCTGACTCACAAACACTACTGAGCTCGACGGCGGAACAAACTGACCTCCTCTCATTTGTGGAAAAAACTTTCCTTTGAGTTCCCCGAACTTCAGACGACCGAGCCCGCGTATGTCAATGAGATCCGTCAGGTAGGACGAATCTCTCGTCTGGATCAGGTACGACAGCATAATCGGACCCGGGAGCGTGCAGCGAAAACTCGTTTTGTTGCCGCCAGGACCATCTCCAGAAAAGAGGGACACAGCCAATTTTTGGAGGCCATGAGGAGATGCCGCTTATCGCGACCGGGGAAAATTCATACTGCTGCCAAAGTT